AAGTAGAAATGGAAACTGGGAGGAAATGAGGTGGAACACAGGTTGATGAATTGGAAATAGGGAATGAAAACCAGTACAGAGTAGAAACACCTGAAAGCAGTTCTGGAAACTCTACATGCTCCTGTTGTACCAGGACCTGGCCCTATGTGTGCTGACCTTGTTCTGTTCCCATCTGCAAATGTGGCAAAATTTTAGCTGTTTTCTATTAACACTGAAATACTCTGAGAGCTTGAAAATTTTCAAGTGCAAAATCAGGACCAGGGAACAGTTAAAAAGAAAAAAAAAAAAAGGCTTGACTGAACTGCCACTCACATCTTCCCTATGCTGTGCAGAAGCAAAGAACTCAATAGCGATTTTGGTTTTGTGGTTGAAGGCAACTACTATGCAACTTCTTAAGTGGCTCATAGTTGTCCATATTTTATCCTTATAATTGAAACAATATTTCCTGCTTTCCCCAGAGCAATAATTTTAAAGGTGGGGTCTCTAACCTCGGGTACAGCTTGGCCTCCACAGTGTTACACTGTTCCCAAAATGACAGGGGATATGAAGCAGATGGGTCACACTGCAAGCTGAAGAAGTGTGATTTTGTTCATAAAGACTAACCCGACGCTACAGGAAAGGCCCAGGGCTATCTCTGAGTCTTCATAGGTCTGAAATGACTTTAAAGTTATTAATCAAGAAGTGGATAGGTGGAAACTTGGGAACATGTTCTTTGTGGTTAACATTGGGAACACCAAGTCTAATTGCCGTAAGTCTAAACAATCAGAAACTGTAAACTTTGTCACCCACACTTCCAGTTTATGTCACTGGCCCGCTGGAGGCTGCATCACAGTGTTGTGGTGAAATTATTATTTATTAATGACCATAGTGATAATAACACTATATACTGTGAATTTATTTTATAGTAATACATCTCCTCCGTGTTCAATAAATACTTGTTGAATAAATACTTTGTACTAATTGGCTCAACCAATGCTCATTGAATACCTGTCATGAAAAAGGCACTGGGTACTGATCCAAAAATGAATTTGTTGTAGCCTGAGTCTTCCAAGAGATTACAGTTTTACAGATATTATGTTGATGAATGAACAACCCAGAAAGGCATAGTCCTTTCAGTTCGATGATGCTTTGTTTTTTTACACTTTTTATATAAAAGATTTTGAATTTGCTGTTTGGAAAAATCCAGTAGTAGAGAATTCAGAGGATGTATTTGAAACTTGTATTTTTTGAAATCTATGTCTGACAACTATTAAGGAAATCATACTTTTTTCCAGGTTACTTTATTGCCTATAATACAACCAGAAAAAAATGTTAAAAACCCAATCTCATGCATATCCCAGCATGACAAAAAATTATGCATTTATAAGAACACTTCACATCGCATTTTGTAAAAACTTAAAAGAAGATAAATAATATGTATGACTCCAGATTGCAGTAAACAGACATCCACTTAGCTTAGCTTTTAAGTTATGCAACTTCCTCACTGATGACTTAGAGAAAAATAAAGAGGCAGCAAATAGTCAATAAAGAGCAAGGCAGGAAGTGTGTGGTGACTCTGAGTCCCAGGAGGGCTCGCCATGTCCGGTGCCACTAGGGAAACAAATCTCTAAGGCGGTTGAAGTTTTCCTGATTCTCACATAATCCCAAACAGAGTACAAGGCAGTGTCTTAAATGTGCAGGTTTAAAGGAGCACAGAGAAAGAAAAATAAGAGAATGAAGTCTGCACCCCAAGAGAGTGAAGGAGGGTCAGTCATTTGTTTACAGGCAGTGTTTCCCCACTCCTTCTCTAGACGGCCAGGATTTTGGAGCCTCTGTCAACTCTTAGGCAAAGATCCTTCAATCAGTTAATATAGGGCCTGATAACTCATGGACACCGTGGGAGATTAAAAGAAGACAGTAATATTAACATAAAGATCATGGCAGTAGTCACAACATGCCACCATTTAGTGTCTTTGTGTTTCCTAAGAGTTGACACTATGCTTGCATCATCTCATTTAATACAACATGATGACATATTCTTATTTTACTGAGGGATTAAAAATAATAAACTGATGGCTGGAGGCAGTGGCTCACACCTATAATCCCAGTACTTTGGGAGGCTGAGGTGGGTGGATCACTTGAGGTCAGGAGTTCAAGACCAACCTGACTAACATGGTGAAACCCCGTTTCTACTAAAAATACAAAAATTAGCTGGGTGTTGTGGTGGGCACCTGTAATCCCAGCTGCTCAGGAGGTTGAGGCATGACATGAGAATCACTTGAACCCAGGAGGCGGAGGTTGCAGTGAGCTGAAATCATGCCACTGCACTCTAGCCTATGAGATAGTGTGAGAGCCTGTCTTATAATAATATAATAATAATAATAATAATAATACTAAACCATGACTCAGAGAAGGTGTTTGTTCAGGATCACAAAGCTCAGAAGGGACAGAGCAGCATTTGAAACCAAAATTGGTCTGACTCCTAGCCTCCTGCTGTAAATCACAATCCGAGGCTTCTACTATCTTATGTTTTTCTGAGATAATTTATAAATGAAAGGATGATTAACATATTAAGCAAAATATGTTAGATGTCAAATGATTAGTATAAATGATAAATGCTGGAGAGGTGAGATGGCAGAAAACTCATGTCCAAGGTGATCTGGGAAGGCCTCTTGAATAAGGTGGAGTTTTAGGTGATTTTTGAAGAATTTGAAAGTGCTTAGATTGAGAGGTAAGGCATGTACAGGAATGGTTTCTAAGATGTCATATTTTGTCTCCTTCCTCATCTTGACTGGCACTAATGAACATCAAAGATTTCAACCTAAATACATTGAGTGCCCAGTATGTGAAGGGCATTATTTATGTTGTTTTAAAGCTTTTTAACATACTTTAAAGGAGGGACTGGTTAATCTCCACTGTCTAGATCCATTAGACCCTGAGCCAGATGGCCCCAGGGGCCTTTGGGAATGGCCTGTGGGACAGTCTCCACTTTTGCACATACCCAGGAAAAGAATGGTCCTCTGGGAATTTTGCAGACCTACATTCTGGAGATAATGTACTTCTGATCATAATTCAAGTGCTCCCAGATATAGGGTTGCCAGATTTAGCAAATAAAAATATAAAACGCTCTGTTAAATTTGAATTTCAGATAAACAATGAATTATCTTTTAGTACAAGTATGTCTCAAATATTGCAAGGGACATACTTATTTGTTGTTTATCTGAAATTGAAATTTCACTGGGCTTTTATATTTTATCTGGCAACCTACCCAGAAAGGAATTGGAGGGAAAATTCTGAAATTTGAATTTTCTGGCATATGTAAATACTCCTCTATTTGAAGGCCTCAAATAAACTAAAACACAAAAAGGAAAAGTGTCAGTATTTTACATTCCCATAAAATATGTTCCATTTTAAAATGATACCAATGGAGCAGGAAGTTACCTCACAAAAGTAATTTTGTGGAAACAATATAAAATCCCTGTATTTTTTTTCTTTTTTTTTTTTTTCCTATCTATCCCTAGTCATTTCCCAAAATCCCTGTGTTTTTATACTCTATTCATTTAAGAAATCCTGGCCTCAAAATAGTAGTCAGTTAATCCAAGTAAGTCACTTGCTCTGCATCAAGATAAAACTGCATTTCATGCCATGTATCCTGAGGATAAAAAAGGAAATGCTGAAAACTGAGTTTCCAAGTAATGCCCCTATTAAAGATAACAATTAAGTGAGTGGGGTTCACTGAGGAGGAATGGTGCCTTAGGATTGAATTAGAAGAATGATGATTGTTTTTGGAGTTGGAGTCAAATATCAGCCTTTAAACCAAGTCAAAGCCAGTGTTACAGCTGCCTTCTGTCACTGACACTGCTGTGGAAACATTCAAAAGGGCACACTCAAACGTTTTTTTCTAGTGCGTTTTTCAAAACAACTTGGAATTAATACAAGTCCCTCAACAGCACAAAGCAAATGTGTTTACCTATGTAATATTTAATATTGAGCTTGCCTGGAATCATTTAATGGAAAAAATTATTCTGGAGAGAAATGTACTTTGAAAGAATGCAAAGCACGAAAGGTAAATTGGAGTGTTGAAGGGGGATTTTAAATCACATTTAGACATAAATCCTTTCAGGTCATGAGTCCCATAGATTACCAACATCTGCTGAGTCTAGATAGTTCACAATCACTAAAATTGTCGTAATCTTCCTATGGAAGGTTTACCAAAGAAGTACTGAATTACACTGGTTTAATACTTCTAAGGATGAAGGGTCAAAATGATGATGCATAAATTAATGCAGTGGCTACATAGTAAAATCTAATACTAATAACATATCTGAACCAAGCTATGGTTTCAAAAGGTGTTCACTCCATCCAGGTAACATATGCTCAGCTATATGATTACCTGGAAAGTGGCCAAGCATTATTCACCTTCACCTACTCCTACAAGCTTCTCTGTCCTATCTTATTCTTTTCTACCTTCAAGAAGAGAGGAGGACTTCAAGGTTGGGGCTATAAAATGGGAAACTATAGAGCAAAGGCACAGATAACACAGTGAAGGAAGGTGCTAGAATAAATTATCAGTGGACAGTGTTCTCTGGATAGAAGCATGGGATCTAAATATGGTGTCTCACAGAGTCTATTTGCATACCACGCTACGAGTGGGAGCAGTGCAGAGCAGCATCTAGTGCTGTGTGAACTGTATCATCAGCACCTTGGAGTGATAGTCACCGTGCCTTACTATATTTTTAGTTGTTTAGATGGACAGTGCATTTGCGCTTGTGGAGTACTTTTTGAAATGCATAGAAATGAGCATTCTCATTTTCCTTCACTGCATTTGCAAGGATCAAGGTAAATATTTCCAGTGACATGGAAGTAGTATAAATTGACCGCTTGTAAAATAGCTGAGCAAATACTTCCTATACTTAAATAGGAACAGCAATGTAACATGTATGAGCACTGAGCAAAGTATGTTGGATGCACTTATGCCTCCACTGAATTAGATCGTATTGGTCTGGGTCTTCATTCCACACCCCCACCATCCTGCTCTCACACTTCCTGGTCTCCAGTCATATTCCTCATTCTCTGAATACTTTGCTTCATGGCCTCTCACATACCTATTTGCTTGTGCACCTCTTCCTGTCCCCGGTGGAATTGCCCCTGTCCTTTGTCTCCTGGTGAACCTTTGCTTTTCAAGTCTCAATTCAAAAATCACCCTCTGGCCCCTACTCCCCAGTGTCCTACCCAGAGTTGGGTGCCCCTGCGCTGTGTTGCTCCAGCCTGTATTCACACCCTCTGTGAAAAAGCACATCACATTGGCTTCTGATCAATTGCTCCCCTGCTTTCCTCTCTCAATGGGCTCCACACTTCCTGAGAACAGGGCCTAAGTCTCTTTCTGCTTTTTATTTTCAGAATAGAGTGTCTGTGATACATGGCACACATAAATGATCCATAAGCATTTTATTCAGTGATCTGGAGTGCATCATGGCCTGGACACTCTGGAGGAATATAGATAAATAGAATACCAGGACCAGACATACCCATGTAAAACTTCCAAATTACAAAGCTACGAATTTAATAGTACCAATAGTAAAAATTGGAGCAGTCAAGAGAAGGGAAGTAAAATTCTCTGGGAAGGATTGAGGAAAGCCTGATGGGAAAGGTGAAATGTGAGTTGGGCTTTAACAGAGGCATTAAAATGGAGGAAAGCAGTAGCTTCCTCTTCTTGGTAGCTCATCAGAGCCATAGAGTTAGGGCAGAAAAGTCCAACTACAGACTGAAAAGCAAAGCTGAATATGAGTGTAGGGTTTAGGTTGAAGAGTAGGCTAAAATCATCCTGGTTCTTCTGTCTGTGCACACTGAGAGCCCTTCTCCCATGTCCAATTTTGCATCTTCTTCTGGTCTAAGCATACCTATAAGAGATTACCAACTACCAACTTTTGTAGACACAGTTTGTGTAGTTCTCGTGGACTGGGATACGTGACTCTGCAAACATGATGCTAAATATTTTTGTTTGTTTGTTTTAGCAAATTGAGTATGTAACTGTGCCTTAAGATATGCAGTGCATGTCTTAGCCTTAAACTTGTTCCCTTGTGCTTTTAGATAATAATATTATGAAATTTATTTGGGAGTCCTTTGGGGCCTAAGTTTAGAACCTAGAAAGACAGTCTCATTGCCTTTGTTGTCCCAAGGAGGGTAGCTGCAGCTGGGTTCTGTTCAGCTGCAGGTGTGGAGCAGGAAGTGCAGGAGGGAGCCCAGGGCCCATTTCCAGGTGGCAGCAGGGTTCAGTGAGCTTAATTAACCAGTGAACTGCTCGTGGAGATGGGGTCGATCTGTCTCCACCTTTCTACACCACACTGAACAAGCCACTGACCATTTCCTGCCTTGGATTTCCTCATCTCCAAAGAGGGTACAACAATGTGTATTCATCAGAGAAATTACTGGCCACTGTCTCATTCAGAAGCTGCCGCTACAAGTGTTAGTAAAGACTTTTAAAAGCATGAAACAAAGCAGAGAAGTAAAAATAACAGGAAGTGGAAGACAGAGCACACTATGACCTGAACTCTTCTGTGTTACATGCTGGTGTTAAAGAGGTCATAAGGCCTTAATGAAAATTTGTTACTTGGAAGGATGTCAGTGCTGGGGACCTGCTCTCTGTGAACCCAGAAACCTGCCCCAGCATTTCAAGGGACAAACAGTCCTCTCAGATGATTTATTTCTGAGTTGGAATTGCCCCATTCCCCAGGCCATCCCTTTTTCAACTTTGTACAAATATAAGTGGCCAATTTACTTTACTACACAAATGACTCATAATTTCATGAGCTGCAAGCAGCAGTTTCCTAAGCAGCTTTCCCTTCTTCCTAGTGCAAGAAAAGGGCACATGGACATCTCTTACGGGCTAGATCTTTTTAATTAGTGAGGGAAAGAAAGTGAGGGAACCACTGGACCCAATCTCAAGTTTCTAAGATCAACTAGACGAGGCACATAGCCAAATTCCAAAGACTCATGGTTCTTTCCTAATCCTCGGCCTCTACTTCCTCATTGGATCTGAGTTCAAAATCTCAGAAAGGTCAGAGCATGTGCATTTTTGGCATTTTTAAACAAATGGATGCATTTAAGAACTTGAGGAAAGGGTGACTTTCTATAGTTTTCAGCACACATCATCTACTTGACAACTTCTACTAAACTAGAGCTGCTTTCAGAGGGTAATGTGAATAGCCAATCACTGCCACTCAAGACAAAAATGTTGACCAATGACCTAGAAGTAAGTGTGCAGTGTATTTCGCATGACTGTGAGTGCTTCTCATGAGAAAAATAATGGCATCAGTTCCTGGAGTTTTCTTGGTCATTTAAACCTCCTGCTTTGGAACTGAGTTCATGGCTTACCAGCATCAGCACATGTTTCCTATTTTGTTGTACATGATCACAGAAGAAATAGGGGGCAATCCAGGAAAATGGGAACTAAATGTTCTGGAGAGATTACATTCCTTATCACATTTAATCTTAATAAGAACCCCCAAAAGTTGGTGCTCTTTTCTCCATTTTACAGAGGTTTTAAAAACTGAAAGCTCTGAAAAGTTAAGTAATTTGGATCTACAGAGCTGTAAGAGGAAGTGCTAAGATTTGAATCCAGAATTTCATGACTCAAAAACGTATTTTATCCACAATATCGGTTTACCAGAAGAACCTAGGCTTGGCCTCAAAAGACCTATATTAGAAATGAGCTTTTTCCTAGTTCTAAGGAAGTATTGACTTTTTATTATTTAGCTAATTAAACTGCACATATATTACATTCCATAGAAATTCTGAACATCAATAATAACATGAAGAGGAGATACCTTCACTATTTGTATATATATGTATATGTGTGTTTAAATACATGTAAAATATGTTTTACAATTTTCTCTTTGTTCCAAAAATGGGAAGGAAAATAATTAGAATTTCTTGCTGGGCATTTGTGTCCACTTTAACCTGATCTATTTTGTCTAACGTTTCTTTGCAAAGCTCTCAAATTCATTGTTAGCCTATCTGATCCTGTCATCTGGAGACCGCCAAGTATTTCACATCTTACCCAGGGAACCGATCACTTTTAAGAGAGGGAGAGCATTCTTTACTGACTTTTTCTAATTTAAACTCATTGAACATTGTCTCAACTGCCATATTAAGGGCAAAGACAAGGCAGTGCATCTGTAAAGAGCTCTGTCACTTTTCTCCAAGTGATGACTAATGGTGGGGAACTTAAAACCTTATCCTTGGTATCTTTTGGAGTCCAGACAATTCAGCGCTCTCTTGGGATGAGTAAATATCAGCCTGTTCCCAGGAAGATTAACTAGTAAGATGTTGTAGGAAAAGCTGCTACTTTTTAGAGGGCTATACTTAAACTACCATCTATGCTTCTTAAGGCAGAATCTCAGATAATTTATTTCCATATGGGGTACTATGATTTCTAGAAAGAAAAGACATTTTATACAGTTATAAGAGTAATAGTAGTTTCTTTACAAGATCTTAATTTTGGTCTCAAGGTTAGTGTTTTTTAATTTAATGTACTTATAGGCCTTTAAAAGATCATAGAGTAGAATTAGGAGACCTGAATTAGGGCTCCCCATTACTGGACATACAGGTGAATTCCAGTTTCTTTCCCTGTTGTGCAGGTAGCAATGCCTATCTAACCTCCTTCACAACCTCTCATTTTTTAAAAAAGAATGCTTAAGTACTTTAAAAGTTCTAAGAGCTCCAATGGGGTGCTGTAGCCCATGGGCTTTGTCATCTGAAAGCCCCAAATTTGAAACTTAGCTTTTTTACTCTTTTCCTGTGTGGATTAGTTTTCTAAACTTTCTGTATCTTGGTTACCTCACTGGTAAAATAGGCTAAAATTAGTTCCTACCACGTATGATACTTGTGAGAACCAAATGGGTTCTTGGTATGCTTGGGTTGTAAAAGCCTCATAGAATGTATGTCATCCACTCGTCCTAATTGTAAGATGAGGAAACCAAGGCTCTGGCTGGTAGACTATCTTACCCAAGTTCATTCATTAATAAACATTTTTGAGTTACACCACGCAATTTGCCTGCAGGGATTCAGTGCCGCTTAAATTATCATGCCGCCTCAATTCTTAGGAAGGCTTCTTTTTAGTTGAGAGTTCTTCTTGCTCCTTTATGTCAGAGGAATGGTCACGTTGCTGACTTTTTCTTGTTTATGGGCTAATGACTCATTTATGTGTTATCTAAACTTCTTGTTCCTTCTTTCTCTCTTCTGCCATCTCTATCATGGGACTATTTTCTTTCTGCTAGCACTTCTACTGGAGATCGTGAAAGAGTGGTGACAGTGAATTAACTCCTTGTTAGCAGCCTGGTCTCTTGAGAGGAGGCTCACCCACTGCTGCTGACTGATAAGATGATGACAATCTCTGATTCCTAAAAAATCTCTTCTATTATTAAGTTGGTGCATAAGTAGTTGCGGTTTTTGCCGTCCAGATTGCCATTTGCCTCTCTCTGCTCTACTTGCTCCTTCTTCGCTGGATTCTCTTCCTGGGTAATCCCTTAAATTATGTTACATTCTCTAGGATCTGTCTTCGTCTGTCTTTGATTCTGCCTGTTCTCCTCAGTGATCACAGGCACTCTTGTGTCCTCAGTTACCATCTATCTGACACTGACTCCTAAATCCATTATCTTTAGCTTAACTTTCTCACTTAACTGCCAGATCTCACTGTCTCTTAAATATTTTTGCCTGTGTCCCACAGGCACATCAAAAATTGTATCCACAAGTGAGCTTTCCAGTCCCCCTTCTACACACACACACACACACACACACACACACACACACACACACTTCCTTCTATAGCCTAATTAATCAAGCATTCTCAGCTCCTTACCCAAGTTCCATATTGATCCAGTTTTCAAATCATTTTTATTTCATCTTGAAATATCTCTTGAACCTGGCACCACTTTGCTATCACTATACAGTTGCCTCAGTTCAGCATTCATCTTTTTTCATCATAGCTTCCTGACTTTCCTCTGTGGCCTACTTCTCTCCATTCTATCTAATCTTCCCTCTGTATTCTGCCACAGATAACTTTCAAAACTAAATTTTATCTTTGTTGATCTTCTATTAGGAAAAATGTTTGATCCTCAACTAGTGTCTACAGAAGAATCCAAACTATTGTGATATTTGTGCAGTTTCCAGAATTAGAGCTCCAACATCTTTCCATCCACTCCACTAGGTACTCTGTGGGCCCCTGTGTTTCCTTTACAATAAACTTGCACCTTTCCTCAAGTACTTGCCTGACATGAGATGTGTGACATCCTCAGAGACCCTCCCATACCTCTGATCTTCCCATCTCTTACAACTCCCCTTTGGGCCCCTGCAAGTCAGTACTTCATTCTTATTTTTATATTATCATATCTTTTGACATCTGTGTCTCCTAACAAGACTTTGAGCTCACCAAATAGGATAACAGTGTTTTCTTTTCTTTTTTTTTTAATTTCATTGACCTTATCACATTGCATAATATCTTCCACTCAAAAGGAATTCAATAAATAGTTGTTGAAGTAATGTACTTATGACAATTATTAAGATCAGAGGAATACTGTTTATCATGCAATGTTTATAGTTAAATATTTTTTTTTGATAATCATTTACTAAATAATTCACCTAACACCCCATAAACTAATTAACAAAGAGTGTCTTCATAGATGGTGTTGATATCACATCAAGATGCTAAGAGTGTAAAGTTAGGATTTTTAAAATGTGTATGTACCTTTATGGCTTTCTCTGACTTTTGGGTTTCTTTAAAGTTTGTTTAACTTTAATTCACTTAAATTTCTTTAAAAGTTAACCATTATACTTAAGGTAATCTGACTCCAAATTTCTGATTATTATATAAGATCCAAAAATAGGTGAGGATATAAATCTAAATGTAGTCCAATAAATGTACAGAAAAAAGTCATCTTCACATGTAGTTTATGGAAGTAGTGTATTCCGGAAAAGGAACAGACAAATTTCAAATTGTGGAATTTATAATTAAACCAATTATATTTACACATGCCATAGAGTAAAATAATGTTAAAATTGAACAGTATATCTATATATTACATTGGTTTTATAAAAGCATCATAGTATGTAGTTAATTGTTTAACACCGTGCCTAGAGATAAGAAAATAATATAGTAACATTTATTGGGCACTTACTCTATGCTAGGTGCTGTGCTAAGTGCTTCATATACATAATTTAATCCTCGTAATATCTCTTTGACACAGTTTCCCTTGTTACTCCTGTTTTCCAGATGAGTAAATAATTCTTAGAAAGATTGAATGACAGGCAGGGGACCTAACAAGTTTTTGAGCTATTTGAACATAGGTCTGATGGGTTGTTCTATATTAAATGACTGAATACCTTTTAATTACCTCAATTCTATACTAATAAGTAAATAATTGATAAATCATTTGGTAAATTATATAAACTGTGTTTTGGACATATCTAAAATGATAAGGCAGCTGGGCGAGGTGGCCTACGCCTATAATCCCAGCACTTTGGGAGGCCAAAGTGGGTGGATCACCTGAGGTCAGGTGTTCCAGATCAGCCTGGACAACGTGGTAAAACCCCATCTCTACTAAATTAGCGGGGTGTGGTGGCATGCATCTGTATTCCCAGCTGCACTACAGCTGGGATTGAGAGGCTGAGGCAGGAGAATTGCTTGAACCCAGAGGTGGAGGTTGCAATGAGCCAAAATCATGCCACTGCACTCCAGCCTGGGCGACAGAGTGAGACTCTATCTCAAAAAATAATAATAATAGAATAAAATGATAAGGCAAATATTATAGTCATTATTGAGAACAAAAGAAAAAATTGAGAATCTTTGACGTTAGGTATTGTTAACTACTGATTGTCTAAATCCACCACTTCAGTTTGTTTTGAAGTCTGCTTTTCTATCAAAATCTTGAACATTTACTGTAAAGTATGCTCCCAGGAATGACCACTAATATATTATTAAACTATTCTTAACTATTCTGTGCATAGTGGGAGACATGGAGGTCTATTACTTAATATAAGAAATTAAACTGTATTTCTTCTTTCTGTTCCTGCTGGGGGATAATTTTTAAAATAATTGATAGATTTGTGGCACTGTTAAAGTGGAAATGTACTCAAAATAATTACAATTAAAGGAGACTACAGATTTTATAATGCCAGGTTAATTATCTTCAGAATATCTACCCAATACACTATGTTAAAGGATACCAATAAAGAATGCATTTATCTTTTTCTTGATACTGTTTTTCATTTTTTCATTTTTTTTTTAGAGACATAGTCTCACTCTGTCACCCAGGCTGGTGTGCAGTGGCACCATCTTGGCTCACTGTAACCTCCATCTCCTGGGTTTAAGTGATTCTCCTGCCTCAGTAGAGACAGGTTTTCACCATGTTGGCCAGTCTGGTCTCAAACTCCTAACCTCAAGTGATCCACCTGCCTTGGCCTCCCAAACTGCGGGGATTACAGGCATGAGCCACCACACCGAGCCTTTTCTGATTTTTGATCCCTAGAGTTTAATTCTTAAGTAGATGAAGATGGAGCTGCCTTTATTATAAAATTTGAGGGATGTGAAGAAGATACCCTTGTCCCAAAAGACCTTGCCCCTAAAAGAAAAAAAATGTTATAAGTTTTCAAGCCTTTGGTTGCTCTCTGTGAACAAGTAAAATCCCTGGGAACCATAACCCCTTATGTCTTTATCATACTCTTCAGTAATGAAACTGTGAATATGCCAAAAATGCAGACTCTTAGACCTACTCTCATAGATTCTGATTTGACGTTCTGGAAGGAGACCGAGGAGTCTGCATTTTAACAAGCACTTTGATGACTCAGATGCAAGAGGTTTTCTGGACCACACTTTGAAAAATCTTGACTTAACAGATAATTGACACATCAAGTTGTTAACAAACTAGTAAGATACATTTCTCTGAGTATGTCCTTTATTTCCAGAAGTTGTGATTGGTTTTTATTTATGCTGTCTATTTCACTGAAGATTTTTTCGTTTGTATCCTGTATGATTTTTTTTTTTTTTAATTTCCTTATGTTGGACTTCACCTTTTGCGGGTGCCTCATTGATTAGCTTAATAATTGACCTTCTGAGTTCTTTTTCTGGCAATTCAGAGATTTTGTCTTGGTTTTGATCCATTGCTGGTGAGCTAGTGTTATCTTTGTGGGGTGCTGAAGAGCTTTGTTTTGTCATATTACCAGAATTAACAAACCAGTAAGTTAACAAACTCAAAATTCATCTCATTTAAAATATCATCTGGGGTTAGCCCTGCCTTAATTCTCAGGTTTATCTGAACTTTATTACTTCAAGTATCTCTACATGAAATAAATGAAACTAGAGTTCCTTAACTGACTATTACAACTAAAGAAAAATACTTCTGTTTGTTTCCAAATGGTTCTTTTTTTAAATAGTCCCAGAAGTCAATGCTGAAATGCTAAAACATTAGAGCAGAATGTACAAAACGTTCTTGAATTATATTTCATTCTTGGGTGCCAGGCACATTGGATTTCTATCACACAACACTGAAATAATAAAAAGCAGGTGCCCTGTCAAGTTTCTTTCATAATTGGGAAACTAAAAGTTGATGTACTTTGCAAAGAATTTTGACAGAATAACCCCATTGGATGAATCCAATACCCTTATTATAGGTTGAATAAGATAGAGATTGGGAGGGGGCATAGTACTTAAGAATACAGTAGATGAAAAATTAGACTAATAATACTTTTATGACTTATGGAAAATAAATCCTTTTTTAAATCACTGCAGCAAAACATGTGGCCAGTTGCTGAGAAGCGTTTGTTCCATATGATGGAGACTCTGAGTTTGGGAGCTTAGAAAAAAACCCAGCAAGAGTGTTAGTATGGAGAAAACAGGAAGACAACTTCCTCTCTGAATATACACCATTTCCTGGGGAGGAAGTGGGGCGTTAAAAAAAAGTTCTTTGTTGGCTCTGTAACAGAGAGGCATCTATTTAGTGATGACTATATATGTTTATACAAGCCAGGATATCAACCTTAAACACAATCAAACCCTGAAAGTACCTTCTTTATTTGATAATGGCAAGATGCAGAGCCCTTGGATTAGTTGGTGTGGTGTTTGTTGCGTTTTGTAATCATCATTGGTTTACTCACAGCCATGCATATACTGCCTGGACAATTTTTAAGGGACAGCAGTTATACTCCATATGGTAAAGTGGATTTCACTTCTGTTTCTCTTTTGACTGTGTTGGCATATCCTGAGGCACCCAATTATCTCTCAGGCAGAGCAGCAGAGGGCCTGGGTATTATTGCCCAGCGTGCCAGAACACAGCCTCACCTAAGGTGTGCTTGGGTAAAAAGAGGCCGCCCCAGGCAGTTATGTAGTTGCATATAATCTGTGCTGAGTTTGGCTACTGGCTGCAATTTGTTTATAATCAACTTCATTGAAGGATGAAGCAATATCATTAAAGAGACCACAATTTACCAACTAATTTGGGGAATTGTGAGCATAAATTAAGGACTGGTAGAACTAAAAGAGTTCCTGGATCTAAGGTCGTACCTTACCTTGGCTTTTATTGAGTATTTAGACAGAATTTGCCCTATTACCTTTAAGGGGCTTAAAAGATGGGCCAGTGAATAGCTAAAATGACATCCTTTGCAGTACAGCATTGCACAGCAGAAAGGGCACACAACAAAAAGCTGTGCTTGGAGCACTCCAAAGCCATAGATTTCCAGATTATAATAGAGAAGTCTAACTGGTGCAGTTACAAGAAAGCAAGTCCTTTTATAGAGGACAGAGTAAATCTCTTGTATGAAAACAAAAAGGGAAGCAGACTTAACATCTTGCCTTAAGTCAGCTTCAAAGAATGTTACGGTTGAAATTTACTGTGTTTTTTCAGGAGGTTGAGTGATAATCTGTCCCTCCCCTTTTTTATGCTTGTAACACTTCATGGTCTATATAACTTTTGTCTTTTATTTACCACACTTAATATTCTAAAAAGATTCTTCTGAAACCATTTGTTTTCCTGGTGTTTCTTTTGATAACTCTGTTTTTCCAGAAATTTCCAAAGTATTTGATAAAAAATATTGTGGAGTTGCAGGGCTGCTCCAAAATCCATAACCAAGGCAGCTTTTATTTTCTCACATAGTTGATTTTATGTGTGGGCTTTGCAGACAAGAATAAAAGAGGAAAGCATTGGCACTCTTTTACTTTAGGTCTGAAAAGCACAAAATGAAATGGGTTTCCTGATGACCCTTTACTTACTGATAGCCATTCTGGCAATTTCTATATCTCTGCAATAATAAAAAAAACCTATCAGCCGAATTGTTTACATTCTCCTGTATTACTGCTACTCACCCCAGATATTCATGTTGCAAAAAGAAAAGCTTTTTAATAACATAAGCTATACTTATTTCCCATGGTCACAAACCATTTTGAAAAGATCAAGGCACTATCTCTATATAACACATAAAAACTTCTACTGCTTAACCTGCTCAATAAAAAAAAAAAAACAACATTCAGTCAAAACTGAAATTAAGAAAGCTTTTAGAACCAGAAAGTTCATATAAGGCATCATTTTTACCAAAGACATCAGTTTTTCCTTAGGCACAAAAGTAAATTTTGTTTCTTCTTCAGTGTGTAAAAATTTGCATGG